GTTGATATATAATATAGAAATGATTCTATCTTTGAATCGAAGCTTCATGAATAGATGCATTCCTATCGCCACTATATACGTTATCATTTATTCGTTAAGAAAGAATAAAATTGTTTCTGTGATGGTTCAAGAATGAGAAATTTTTTTTTGAAACGAACTTGGCATTTATTATAAATACTATGCATTAATATCACACTATTGCAATTTTATTTTTATTCAAAATCAATTAAAATTTCCAAAGTGGTATAATACTTTTGTCGTCTACTATACACGTAAAATGTGAACATAATTAATAATACTTTATTTTTGTTTCTTATTCAAGATGATTTCCTTTTTAAACTGTCATTTACTGATTTCTGCTAGCTTTTTCTCTATCAATAATTTGAAACATCGTATCCTCAGAAATTCTATAATTATTTGAAAGAACATCAAATTTCAGCATTATTAATTTTTTTTCAATCAAAATGGATCTCGTGAATAAGTCACCAAAGAAATAACTTTTTCAAAAATTTTATTACAAATACTACAAAGTCACATGTTATAAGGAACCTGCCTTACGAAAGAAAATTTTATATAACATTTGTCAACCATTTTTAAAATTATTTTCCATAAACTTTCATGATCAATTTATTAAAAACATTTGTTCTACACAAGTATCATACGAGTTAATTAGCACACGCTGTAGTCTCTTATATTGATGAATCAGAGTCGATGATGTTCGAGATGCTGAACATGTTTTTTGAATTAATCAAAAAGAAAGATAGGATTAATTATGGTACTTTACCTCATTACAATATAAATAAAAAACCGTTGAAATGTTATAAGATTTTGGAAGAAACGAAAGAAAGATATTACAATGAAAAAGATCGTATGAAGTATACATAGCCGTGTACGTTCCAAAAATAGTGTACTTTCGAAACGTCAATATAAAATCGATCAAATTCCCCTGCACATTTCAAATAAGATACCAAATATAAAACTCCTTGATTAATATATCCTGATTTTTAAAGAAACAAAAATAAACATATATCCAGTCTCAGGTATATTATTAAAGGTAAACAACTTATTTTTTGAAAAAATGAATATTGTGAAACACCATCTGAAAGAAGTGTTGAAGCATATAGGGTTGAAATTTTGAATCCCGTTCTCTTCTTCCTACAGGCCATGACAGACAGAATCTTGGTGTAGAGAATGGGTGGATATGGAGTGTGGATGTGCATTTATTTGTTTTCCTAATCTACATCCCACACCCACACCCCACCTGATCAGTTTCATTTTTGAAAATATGCATTCGCACGTCGTTGAAGATACTGGAATAGTCATTGCACTTTCGATAAGCGCACTAAGTGTTAGCAATGTTTCTGTAAAAGGATATAATTCTTGATATAAAACAATTATAGTAGTTAGCGGTTTATGTTGTAACATGGGTTTCACAACAACTAGTTCATTGAATAGAACATCAACATCAAAATTCAAATGATCAGCAAATGTTTTTAACGAGTCAAAATGTAAAAACGTATCATTATATGGGCATAATGATGAAATGCTTGATAAAATATTTAAAATTTTTGATGAAAATCGATCTTTTAACTCCACTAGTATATTATCAACTAATTGATAATAAATATATGTTCTATAGTATTTTTTATTTTTATGATCATCCTGTTGTCCAATCATACTAGTAGTAACTAAGTCTTTGAATCTGATAGAAACAGTTCGTTTTCGATGTTGTGTTGGTTTATCTTTGAGATTCATGTTGTTTTTTTTTCACAAAACTTATTATTGTTGAAAAGATTTTTCATCGCGAACAGAGTCAAGCTCTTCAATTATAGATAGAATTACGTAGTTGCTGTGCTTTACCATAATCAAGTACTTTAGTCATAAATTAAGCACAAAACATAAAAAGGGAGCGTTTTATTCTTACAAATCATTAAGTACCTTTTAATTTGTCTGATAAAATTTTTAGTGAAGATTACACAGACATTCTCAACAACTAAAACTTCATTGGAGAATGCCCTAATTGAATTTTGTCTACTGTTATATATCAAAGTAAGCATGATAGGGCTGAAATTCCCGGTGGTAGAACTGAGCCCCACCTGCCCACTCCTACCCGCTTGGTTGCTCTACTAACATTAAGAAATGCTAATAGTGAAAAACGAAACCTTATTTAATTAGAAGACATTCTTTAAGAAAATATCATAGCCAGTCGTCAGATACACTTACCACCATATAGTCCTATCATTTGAATAATTCTGTATGAATTCTTCAAGAATTTTCATGTCATTTGGAGTGTCTATGCATTTTTCTCTCCAAATTGTAAGAAATTTCTTTCCGTTCTTATTTGTCCAATTCATAGCTCGCAGCAAGTCAAGCAATAATTGGAAATACAATACATCTCCATCAGCATAAAGCGAAGAATCTCCATCCTCGTCAATAGGAATAGCAAAAATTGACCAGCATCGTCGATTTTCGTTGAATCTCATTCTATCAAGTTCGATTTTTGCTGACAACCTTATGTGTTCGAATGAAGACACCTCTGATTTAGAGAGAAAGGCAAATTCATCAGTTTTGGAATTTCTAGCTTTCTCATATCAGCTTTTACTTTAGGAAATTATTCGTTCATTCCTTCAAGTGTTGATTACGACAATCTAATATACAAAGAAGAATGTTTGTCTGTCTGTTCTTTATGCATTTGGTCCCTGTAACAGCTAGTGCAACCAAACTTTGCATGGTATACCCTTTCGTCCAGAAAAAGGTCAAGACGAGGTCGGTGCGTCCAAGAAGGGTGGGTGGGAAGGTTCTCCTCTCCGCCAAGTTTCTGAAAATTGGCAAAATCTTCGTTCGACCTCTCAGACGTTTTGAAAAATTTGCTCCTATTTTTTTTTAGTGCCCTCCTTCAGTTTTTACCTCTGCGTGCTACCCCTGAATAAAGAGCTACTTTTCGATCCAAAATTTTTACTTCGGAGTACTTAGTAACTCCATTATTGGGGCGATACAGTAAGTGTCCCATCCAAAAAGTCCGAGCGTGCCACTGCTTTTTCAATAACTCGAGAATGAAAGAAGATGAAGATCTGAAATTTTCGTCATTGCATACAAGAGATTCTGAGGTAAGAAAGTATGCTCAAACTTGATTGGTCTTTTTGCTGATCAATCGGATTTTAGCATACTTTAATGGTCAGTAATATCCTTCTGATCCAGTTTTCAGCGACGATGTTTCAAAACAATGGCAACGTTGTACAAAGAAGCTTTTTTTAACTCCAAACTAATGTAGAAATAATTGAAAACTTTCACCAAAGGAATTTATCGAAATGATTCTCAAAACGACTATTGAAAGCGATTTAGAAGGTGTGAGCCAGCACCGATAAGAGAGATCTCTTTGTTTGGAACTTGGTGGATATTTACAGACATGGACTTGGAAAAACCAGGAATACATTGAAAAGATAAATGAGCGATATATGAAAAAATGCCGAAAGGATATCAAGAGAGTGTGGGTGGGTGTGAGTGTGGGTGTGAGGTATGGGGTGTGGGTGTGGGTATGGGGTGTGGGTGTGGGGTATGGGTGTGGGTATGGAGTATGGGGTGCGGGT